TAAAATGCATAAGGGTTCATTATGTTTTCATTGGGCAGCGCTGGACTAGTTTAACCCAGGAAAATATCTCTATACTTAAAACATCAATATTGAGTATATGCCAGAGAGGATGGGAAGCCAAGTTAGAAATTACCCTCAAACAGCCAAGAAAATAAACTTTTTAAAAGTACAAAGATGAAACAAGAGCCTTCCTCAGGCACCTTCCTACACACCCGTTCCAAATTCAAAGTACTTTAAACAGCATCTCTGCACAGTAAAAACTTGACGACTGCTTTGCTCTATCCTGGGCCAAGACAGGCTGCCTCGGTGGTTTTCCTCTTCAGGTCTCACAACTATGTCATGCTTACAGCAGGAATACCGGCACCAGCCTGGGCAATGAAATAGAAGCCTGGTGGAAACAGGGGCACCGAACTCCCCTCCTCGCCCAATTGTACTCTCATGACTTTTCCTTATAAACCCCCCAAAACCAGTGCAGCCTTAATGCATGCATCATACTCCAATCTCCCCAAAATAGAACGAGCATTTCCCCTTCTTTCTTATTCCTCTAGAATTATCTCATCCTTCATTTCTTCCACTGATATCTGCTGAGCCCTTTGTGCCAAGCAACTGTATTGGGCATGGAGGTAAAGAACACACCTTCTAAATGTCCATTAACAGAGGAATAGATAAAGAAGATGTGGCACATAAATATATATATAATAGAATATTACTCAGCCATAAAAAGAACAAAAAATGCCATTGGCAGCAACGTGGACAGACCTAGAGATGATCATACTAAATAAAGTAAGTCAGATAAAGAAAGACAAACACCATATGATACTGCTTATATGTGGAATCTAAAAAAAAACAAAACAAAAAGGGTACAAATGAAGTTATCTACAAAACAGAAATAAAGTAACATGTAAAAAATAAACTGATGGTTACCAAAGTTAATGGAGGCAAGGGATAAACTAGAAGATTGGGATTGACTAATACTACTACTAATGGAGAAGGAAATGGAAACCCACTCCAGTATTCGTGCCTGGAGAATCCCATGGATGGAGGAGTCTGGTGGGCTACAGTCCACGGGGTCACAAAGAGTCGGACATGACTGAGCGACTTAACTAACTACTACTAATAGACTTCCCTGGTGGCTTCGAGTGTAAAGCGCCTGCCTGCAATGCGGGAGACCCGGGTTCAATCCCTGGGTTGGGAAGATCCCCTGGAGAAGGAAATGGCAACCCACTCCAGTAGCCTTCCCTGGAAAATCCCATGAATGGAGGAGCCTGGTAGGCTACAGTCCATGGGGTCACAAAGAGTCAGACACGATTGAGTGACTTCACTTTCACTACTAATATATATAAACTAGACAACCAATGAGGACCTACTGTATACCACAGGAAACTCTACTCAATATTTTATATTCTACATGAGAAAAGAATCTAAAAAAGAGTGGATATATGTATATGTATAACTGATTTTCTCTGCTTTAAACCTGAAGCTAATACAACATTGTAAATCAACTATACTCCAATGAAAATTAAAAAAAAAAAATACACCTTGCCTTCAAGAAGATCGAACCTAAAAGGAAGACATTTAAGTAATACTAAAGTATATTAAATATATTAAATAATGGCATGATAAGCGGAAGACAGACTACGCTCAAGGGATACGAAGAGATGTCACCCAGAAGTGGAAGTATGAGCGAGGTGGCCCTTGTTTGCAGTCCAGAAGTAAAGCAAACAGAAAAGATGGCATTCAAGGCACAGAGACAGCATGCACAGGCCGTGCGGAGGCCTGAGGCCACACGATGCCTTGGAAAATGCAAGCGGTTTGGTGTCTCTTGGATATATGAAAGGAGGCATGAGGAGGAAATGAAGGGAGAGGAGGTGGGCCACACAGGGCCACTAAGTTCCCATTTATAAGATACCATGAAGAGAAAAGGAAGATCAAAGAACTTTTCAAACAATCAACAGGTTATGTAAGTTTCCACCTCCTCCCTCCAGACTGGCTTACATTTTTCCAGCAAGTTAAGAAGTTCTCCTTCCCCTGGGGGTCATTACAGAACTTGGCATTTCTGAGATGTCTGGCCTCATCTGGTCATTCAAAGCATCTGTCGGGTGCCTAGGAGGGGCCGGTCACTTTTCTCGCTGTAGTAAAGACACAGAAGACTGGCTTCCTAACTAACGTCAGCACCTCACGGACAATCAAGGGAGAGGTTAATATTAATAACACAAAGCAGCTGTAGTTTGGAAGGGAACCATTTTTTTCCCCTTTCTTATTACCCAGGAGTAAAAAGCATGTGTCTAAAATGTTTTGGGGACAGAGATATCCTGCTCCCCAAATCACTATTTCCTATTCTCAGCTTTCTTCCTCTGCAACTAATGACCTAAGCAGGGAGGGAAGATCTAAACTTGTATTAAAAAAGCAGTGTTCATGCAGACAACATTCCTAAATCTTTCTGCTTTAAATCATTCTCTGGACTGTTTCTTGTAACAGATCATTATGATCACAAATTAAGAGAAGGTTCATTATAGTACGTAGTGGTGAAAAGAGGCTTAAGCCTGGGCAAGTCCACAGTACCTTCCCTTCCATTTTAAAGAGTAAAATGAGAACACGTCAAAGACTGAATGCATAAGAACTCCATTAGATGCAGAATAGATCAACACTCTGAGACCATTGGTTCAAATATTGTTAAATTTTCCATAGTCGCATAATGACTTAAAAAATAATCAGCATTCCTTCATACGCCATGGGCAGTAATGAGCTAAAAGGGATCTTATGGGCACCAGAGCTTTAAGTATTTTATCCATCCAGGAGCCTCACTGGGTCATAACACTCAGAAGTTCATTGTTTCCTGACCCTAAACGGCTGCAGTCGCCATGAAAACAGCGCCATGGCCCCAGCTCCCAAACTGGAAGCCGACTCAAAGCCGCCACGTGGAAGAGCCTCCTGTCCTGCCTCTGTTGGCTCCCTTCACGCTGCAGGTGAAAGGGGGTCGTGGGGCACCCCTGTCAGCCAGGGGCTGGACCACTCAGGTAGCCAGAGAATCATCTGAGGTGAGAGGACCATTTGCTGAACTCAAATCCAAAGTTCTGCCCATCTAAACGTGTCGGGGATTGCTTCACTGTCTACAGGGACAGTAGCTCACTTTCAGCTTAAATCTACATTGTGGAATTTGAACCATCGAAATGCCCATCACCATAAAAAAGCTTTATGAGCCTTGTTAACAAAACAGAAAGAACTTCTGCCAAGAGCAGAGGAATAAATTCCTTCTTTTCTGCTGCTTGGACCACAGCATAATGAGGGGTCCCAAGCCCTCTCTGCAGTCATAAAATGGAAAGCCCAGGCTCCTCCTTCTGATGTGTTCCAGTTTAAAAGTTTAGAGTTGATGCCTTTTCATCCTTAATTTATCTTCCCTTGTAAATATTTCTGTTCCATTTCCAATATCTAAAGTCTACACATTTCCAAAAAACAATTCACTCCTTCTCCAATTTCAACTGTAGAACTTTATGTTATGGGTCAAATTTGGGACTAAATAAACATACCTCAGGCTACAGTTCTGCAAATACCTCTGGCAGCAAATTAACTCAAACAAATGTTTTGGTTGGGTGGTGAGGCTGTTTTTAATGATCTTGCTGATTTGCCTGGAGGCCCAGGGATAGACTGGGTGAACTCCCAAAAGCTTTCCCAACTTTGTATTTTCTGCCACGTTAATGTACAGTTCTTAGGTTTGTTGAAATAGTTGGTTTAACATTTCACCACCAGAGGGTGCTACTTGTTAGCTTCTAAAATGCATTTCATACTCACACCTGAAAAATGGAGGCCTTTCAGCCAAAGAATCCTCACAACACCAGCTGGCATTACCCAAGACAGGTTTTCAGAAGGCCTGTAGTGTAGGCAGCACTCTCCTTCAAGGAACCTGATTTCACTTGTCTATTAATGTTACGGGTTGAAAACCAAAACTGAAAGTCTCTGTAACTTGCACAAACCCAAGTGCACGGATTGATACACGCTGTAAACCAAGCAGGCAATGCAAATCCTTTTTCATTTTCATGGCTTTTGTATTTACTACACAACAACAATGAACTCAGAAAGCTAACATCCTCTTCACTGCACCAGACAATAAAATAGCAAAAGAGAACTTGCTCAGCTATGACAACAGTGCTATCCTCTATCAATGCAATCTTCACTTATCCTATTTTAAGTGTATACATCTCCTGCTTCTGCTTTGGAGCAATTTAGCTTTGGTGTCATTATTCACTTCTAAGATGCATTTTCATTGAATACCTTCAACTTCCCTTATCAGTGTATTTTTTATGATGTACTGGGATTTACATGTACTTTTTCCACTTGATATTTTTGGGAAAGCACAAAGGAGGCAGGGAATTCAATTCCCATTCCCCTCCACGGAGCTCGCATGGAAAAGTCTCTTTAAATTATGGTAAGAAACTCTTAGTGTGTTGCCATCTGAATTGGCAAAGCAAGTCAGGGGTCAGCAAAGTTTTTCTGAAAAGCGCCAGATTACAGTCAAGACTTTAGGCCACATGGGTCATAAGCGCTCAACTCTACCACACAGCAGGAAAGCAGTCCTTTAGATAGGTGGGACTGGGTGTGGCTGGATTCCCAAACACTTCACCTCGAGGAGCAGGTGGGGTTTATAGTTTGCTGACACCTGTAAATGATGAGTCTAACATACACACTCTTACCAATGAAATTCAGAGAAGTTTCTATTACATTTTCCCATGGAGATATTCCCTGTCCTCGCACAGTGCTGATAAAGTGTGGCCTTACTAAGTGACCCATTTGAAAGTTCACGATCCCCCTGGAGGAGTACCACTGGGTTTGCTCTCCATCGTTTCCAAAACCAGAGCCCTAAGAGACTTCAGCTTTTGGTGTGTCTTTATATTTGTGTCCCGTAAAGATGTCTTATGGTAAGATACAAGGTCAGGAAGAAGGATGGGGCTCCCTGGCCATTTCCCCAGAGATCACATGGAAAGTAAATGAAAGACATCACTTACCTTCAGACTGATGTGTGGCCAGAGGAGTCTGGGTCTCCTTGGAGTAGGACACTACCTCCCTAGGCAGGAAATCCACTTGGGTGATCTTCGACACGCCCAGCTTATGCAGTCTCCGTCTGGAAGTAACAACGTACAAACACTTAGACACGGAAGGCGTTCCTCACAGAAGATCTATCAGGAATAAAACAAACGTCTAAAATAAATAAACCCCAAACATCCACAGCTTCTCAGCACAAGGAGCAGCATCATGAAGTAGAACTGGGCCTGGCCTGGAAGTCTGGACACTTGGTTTTGGCCATTTTGCTGCTGCGTTGCTGGGTGGTGTTAAGTGCCCCCTCAGACTGACCCTCAGCTCTTCTATCTGCAAAACTGGATCTTCTCCACTTCAAACGAGACCCTCCTTCCCTTCTGAGCAAATCTGATTTTTCTCAGTTAAAGGAAATTTCCATTTGTAATACAGTGTTTTCTAGTCTCTTAGACAAAAGGGATAAAAGAAAACTAACACTTCTCAAATCCGAAGGAAAAAGAGATGACTGCTGAGAGGAGAAAACATTCTCTACAATAGCAATGAGAGGATGATATTCCAGTGGGGAGCATAACATCTCCCATTTCTCCAGAAAAGGAACTAATACAGAGCGGTACGTGAATTTGTTCAGATATGCTGATACAGCACAGATGAGTGAAAACGGTACTGGGCTAAGAATGATCAAGTTTTAGTTCAGAATTGCCAAATGAGCTGTGAACACGTGAAAAATCCTTTCTGAATATTTATGGAGCACGTCAAGTGTTTTCAGATGTCCTTCACATCCATTATGTCAACTGTCTTCATGACCCTTCTATGAAGCGTGTGGGCATATTATCACCATCTCCATTTCATAGATGAGGAAAGTGAGGTTCAGGAGGAGACATGCCCAAACATATGCAACTCATAAATGGCAGAACCAGGGCTAAAATTGATGTTGGTCTGGGCCCTGGTCCAGTGCCTTTGCCACCAAGTCAAACTCCTACCTCAGGTGCTTAATGGTCAGTTCTGAGTTACCCCTCAAATCCGAAGTGCCTCCTGCGTCACCCAGGAAACATCTACTCGTGGGGGCAGTAGAGTCTGGTGGTTAAGCACACAGACTAGCCCACCACTTGAGTTATGTGTGTGAGCTTGCAGAAGTTACCCAATCTCTCTATGCCTCAGTTTCCTCATCTGTGAAATGGGGATATCACCAGCACTTAGTACCAGGATTATTACAGATAATGTATATGTGCCACATATATACAATGAATATGCCACATATGTATTACATATACATATGTAACAATTTACACACATATATTTTTAAATAGTTTCTGAAACATTATTTTAATATATAGATTTAGTATCAGTATTGGACATGCTTTACTATATTGCTTTAACATTTCCAGGAAGAAGAGTATATGTGTGTCTCTCTGATAGAGAAAGGAAGGCTACACAGCCATTTAGCCAAAAATCCATATTCCCTAGCTTTCGAGAATCAATAGCAGCACACCTTATTCATATCATTTTTTGAATTATTACTAGCAATGGTACAGATTCACTGTAATTTTTCAGTAGACAGTAATAATCAACTGAAAGAAAATGCATACCATAGCTAGGAATTTCCAGGTACCATTTCCCAAGCACTCTAGGAAACAAAAATGTCTTCTTTTTTACAAACTACAAAAATAATTGAAGTGAAACCTAAGAGGAGCTCAGAGTAGACACAAATAAAGGCTTGTTTAGAGAACAAGCCCACTGGCCGTCTCTGCAGCCCCACTAAGCACGACTGTAGCCCTACTGAGCTCCACAAAGGCCTGGGCCATGTGGCCTGACTCACTCAGATGTCTGGACCACACAGCGTGCAGGACGGTGAGGCTGGGGACCCAGCACTCCCTGGCAACCTTCTCACACAGAACACACAAAATATACTAGAAAGAAAATTACCAAGCCAGGGAAAAGGCTCCAGGTTTCAGAGTAAGAAATTCAGGTATTGTTTTAAATCCTCCTTGGGTCAGAGAAGTGTGCTTTTCTACCTGAGATGGGTCCTTCTTGAAGCATCTGAAGAAGAAAACATGACTCGACACCCCAGGACTGCTTGAGGCAAAGCCCCTCCCGCTGCTGAAGAGCTCAGAGCATCGTTCTGAGGCCCCCTGGAAGTCCATCTTCATCTCGGGCAAAGAGATGGAAAGGAGACATGGGCTGGCAGTGCACCCCCGCCCCTTTGAATCGGGGTCCCACCTGGCACAGAGAGCTCACCCTAGGGTTTAGACTCCACGGGCATCTGTGAGGCCCAGAGGTCCCCACAAAACCCCACAGGAGACACCTGTACCTGCAGCCAGGAATCCCAGCGCATCTCGCGAATACGATGCAAGCACAAGCTGTAGGCCTGCTTGGTCGGATGACCAGCCATAGGCTCTGGGCAAGAAGCTGACCTGCAATTTGATAATCCAGCATGGATCATCCACAGCACATCAAAATTGTTAAGCCACGTGTTCAGATACAAACTGGGTTCAAATCCTCGCTTTGTCACTCACCAGCCAAATGGTGTATAAAACCTCTGGACAAGGGACAAACTCCTCTAAGGCTCATGTTTCTCATTTATAAAATGAATACATGTCATTGAACAATTGTGAAGATTAAATGAAGCTAATATTTGTAAAGTACTTAATTCGGTGCCTGGCACCTACATAGTAGGTGGCTTTACTTTTATTTTTCTGGCTGATTATAATATGCTTTCTATTTCAAAAAACAAAGAATGCTGATTTATGAATGCTCTAAGTTGATTTTCTAAAATAGAAGATTTGAAGGTTATCTCTGACAGTAAAACATAAGCCTCACACTCTTTCTTCTCATGGGTACTTGGGTATGTCTTGGCTACTTGAGAGTGTCCACTTGGTTTTCTTCTAACTAAAAGTATCATTACTATGAAAATTCTGTTTTCAAACAGCTTGAAGTGGTATGAGTACCACACAACTGTTCCCAGCTCTAGCCATTCCTAAACATCTGGCCAGAAGGTGGAGCCCTTCCATGGCAAAGACCTTCCCCTTAGGAGTGTTCTTCAACTGTGTCCCCAACCTCTGGGTCTCTCCTGGGCCAGCCTTAGGGTCCGTATGTCTCAGCTGATGCAAAAGCTACCTGTGCGTACAACCCTGTGATAGAGACTTTCAACTTCCCTAAAACACTTCTACAATTCCATCCTCTGACAAAATTATCATGTCACTATGTCTACAAGATGAAATATATAGTATCTTCCTTAAAATGACAAATACAGCGCACTGTTATTTCTTACTTTTGTTCAAAGTCTTATCAGCCCGTAATTCTTTTATTCATGGGTGCAAATTAAACTACTCAGCAAAGGAGGGGGGGAAAACCACATTGTAGAATTAACGCTACTATAATTTCTCTGCTTCTAATGAGGGTCTAAATTGCACGTAGACTCTGGGAGAACTTTGCTGCTGCCCCCCCACCCCACCTGCAAAGCTCATGCCCTTGCTACTGCCCACACTTCCACCATAGCCCCTGCTGCCTGTCATGCCTTCTTTTCATGTCTGACTTGACTGCAGACTTTCTTATTTATCCCAGGCTAATTTATCTCATTGCACAGAGGCTTAGGTCAGTGTCAGGTACGGAGCTGGCACAGAATAAATGTTTGAGGAAGGAAGAAGAGAATAGGAAGAGGAGAAAGAAGGCATGACATAAAAGGAAAGCTGAGAATTCACTTACCTATGCTGTGGTGGACATGGCATTATCATTAAATTATAGGGCCCAGCAGCCTGTGTTTCAGTCACCCCACCACCCCTGCCAGTGATCACGATTCTGACTAAAGGCTGAGCAGCACTGATTCTGAGATGTTAGAGTGTAGACACAGAAGTTTCATTGTTTTCAGATTCCCCTGGGCCGCTCCATCTTAAAGGATGAGGCCTCAGCCCCACAGAGCAGGGATGGGATCTCTGGACCCAGCTTGTCAAGTGCTCTGAGACAGGCAAAGGTGAGCAAAGATGAGTGAGAGGGTAAGAGGGTGGATGAGTGTCAGACAAAGGAGTCTGCAGCATACGAAACATGAAGGGCCTGATGCGGAGGCAGGAGACAGCCAGCCTCTGGCCAGACCCCTGGTATTTGTCAAGTGAAGTAAAATTCAAGCTTTGTCCTCACGCAGACACTCCAAGGTCAAAGCTAGTGGTAAAAGCTGAGCTCTGCTAAAGCAAAGAGACAAGGGGCCCACTCCTGAGGTCAAGGAAGACGTCCCCGTCTGCACACAGGAAGAAAGGCTTCTTGGGGGTCAGAAAGGGAGGGGACCCACCCCATAATAAGTGTGGACATGCACCCTTAGGCCTCTGCAGTGGGATCCATCTTAGCAAAAAGTTGTGTATGCATCTTGGGGAGGGTCCATGGACCAGTCAGGTGTGAAGAAAGAAACAGGATAATTGGCCAAAGGTAAACAAAGGCCCGGAAGGTCTGTAAGAGCGATTCATGGCACCTCTGTACCGCACTCCTCCTTGCCCAGGAAGCCCCTGCTCCTGGGTGTGTGGTCTGCCTACTGTCTGACTGCGCTCCTCCTCATTAGAGAAGATGCCCACACCCTTTCCCTGGAGTGTGGATCTCTGCCCTGCTTCTGAGTTAGATAAACAGTTTTCCTGTGTGCCCTCCCATACGTTGTGCTGTGTCTCGAATAATAAACTTTGTGCCTGCTTTTAGTTTTTGCCCCCTTGACACATTCTTGCTTTCAAACAGGGGCAAGAGCCAGGGCCACTGTGCTTCTAGCTTCCAGCCCCTGGTGTTTTCGTGGCTAGGATTCTTGGTTTCCATCCAGGTTGTGCTGTGTTGTGCTGTGCTTAGATGCCCAGTTGTGTTCAGTTCTTTCCAACCCCATGGACTGCAGTCCACCAGGCCCCTCTGTCCAGGGGATTCTCCAGGCAAGAATTCTGCAGTGGGTTGCCATGCCCTCCTCCAGGTGATCTTCCCAACCCAGGGATTGAACCCAGGTCTCCCGCATTCCAGGCAGATTCTTTACCATCTGAGCCAAGAGCGAACCCCTCCATCCAAGTTACCCAGGTTTAATTCCTGGGCAGGGAACTAAAAGATCTTTCTTCATGACCACGCACTGCTCTC